TTTTTTTTTCTGAAGAAGGGTCTAGGCCCGAAACGTCAGCCTTCCTGCTCCTCTGATGCTGCTTGGCCTGCTGTGTTCATCCAGCTCTACACCTTGTTATCTTGAATTTAAATCTGATGGTGTTGACAACCTGAACCCAATCATGTTATAAGAATTTGGTTGTCATTACGGCTATATAAGACAAGGGTATTTGGAAAATCAGAGAGAGCCAACTGCCACCTGCTGAAATTAGCACCATTTATCTCTCAGAGAAAGCCCATCTAATTAATCAAAGATACCATGGTATTTTAGTTCATTGAAGAAATTAGAGATAAAACATCCATGACAGCAGAATTAACAGAAGAAAGCTGTTTGTGAAGAGACTGGAGATGACAGAATATACCAGAAGACAGTCTATGTGAACTTGGAGAGATTAAGTTATAATTTATTGCTTCTTATTAATTGGGTTTATATTATGGGACATATCTTTACTTAAACAGAATTCTGGTAGAATTTAGACCAGTCAGAGAGTAGTTAGTAGTCTAAGGGTGAATTGTTGGTTTGTTAATAATTTTGTTAATTTGTTCATTGTTGGGTTAAACAAATAAATTGTTTCTTGTTACTTGTAAAGTGGAGATCAGGGACTTTTTTTTCTTTTAACCACTTGTTTAATAGATTACAACGGGAAAGGCGAGCTTCTCTGGGTGTTTAGTGGGTAATTATTAGAGGGGAACCTCTACTCCTTTTAATAACAGATTGGGGCTTGTTTTAGTTTAATTATCAGAGGGGTTTGGCCATTCCCTGCAATAACAAAGGGACCATGCAATGCTTTCCCCTGTAGCTCTACTCGGAATTCTGTTGTGGCAGGGGACTCTCATGAGGACAACAGAAATGTCCTCATTGCACACTCCAAGAGATTCATTTTACCTACTGACTCATTGGACACGCTGGCTTGTCACCAACCAAAATGAAGAAGGGTGAGGTGGAGCATCAACATACATGTGAAAACTAACAGCACTTTTGGTTAAAGACACTAAGGCTCAATGCATAGATGAGAAATAGGACAGAGCCACAGCCCCTTGGGATCTAAAGGTAACTGTGCAGGAGCATGAAGAGAAGCTCCCAGTACTGGAATAAGCTGTTCTGACTGGAATCTTTGGAGCCACCACTTAGCCCTGTGTCATGTGCAGCACATTTGTTGCACTCTACACCAGCTCCATAAACTCAAGCATAGCCCCTAGAGCAGGGCTCCCAGAGTTGGTTGGGACTCAAGTCAGGTGGCAAGCTCTGACACAGTGATTGTTAGAGAGTTCTCAGCAAGTTATAACAGCTGTTTTCCCACTCTCAGTGTCTACTGAGGTGTCACAACATGCAAGCCTTGAAATGGAGTACCAGGAGGAAAATGTTTGCGAAGCACTGTCCTGGGATTTAATCAGACCTGACCACAAAGTAATGATCACATTAAACAGCACATCTGAACATGTGTCTAATAGAGGGCAGTAACTGAAGTGGTGAGTTTGAAATTGTCCCCAGGTTAACATCACTCATTGCTTACTCTGTGTTCCAGACACACAGGCATAATGCTCAGACAAATTACCATCCCAAGGTGACACCCAGCATACCCATGCTAGAAGTGAGCTCACACAGTACATACAGCACTTTGTTTTGAAAACCGCATCCATAACACCCAAAAAAACAGGGGTCAGATAGCTGTATTTCATGGAGACAAACAATTCAACATGCACCATGCTAACCTGGGAAATGCATTGTGTTTGCAGATAGCCCAGTGGTTGACAATGTTGATTTTTATCTCACACTGATACCCTCTGCTGTTGATTATTCACTGCTCATTTCACTTTGCCTTTTGCACCTTAGGTTGGTGGGAGATGTGCTGTTGGCTACTGGATTTCTCTCATACAGTGGTCCTTTCAATCAAACCTTCAGAGATATATTGTTTAAAGTAATTTGGGAAGCAGAATTGCAGAAAAAGAGAATACCCTATACAGACAGTATGAACCTCATAAGCTTTCTGGTGGATCAGCCTACGGTAAGACTGGCTCACACACATTTGCATCTATTAACTTCTACGACAGAATGCTTTTTAGTGTTGTAGTGAAAACGTGCGTATCCTAAAAATGTTTGGTATAATACTGCTTAAAGATGTTACGGGCTTGGTTAAAGATTTCTTCATTTATATCTGTCATTTCACAGTCATCTTTATTGCAAAATTTTTCAGATAATAGAAATGTTAACCTTTTCCAGTTGAAATTATTTTCCTCAGAGTTTCAGATTTCACTCTCTACACCTTAAACAGGACACTGAAGGCCTTGATCTTGCCATCCTGTGCTTGTGTATGCAGTTCAAACTTTTAAAAGATCTATTTCAAAGGGGTACTTGTTTCAGTAACACTTACCCACTATTAGGGGTAAAACATGTGAAGCCTCACCTGATTTTATAAAATTCGGTGTGGAACCAATAAAACTAGAAGACCAGTTTCAGGGGGATAACATTTAACAAGAAAAAATGTGGAAGCATGTTTTTATTCTTCATGGGATGTGCATATTGTTGGCAAGGCCAGCATTTGTCATCCATCCACATTAGTCTTGAACAGATTGGCTTTCTAGGCCACTTCAGAATCAACCACATTGCTATAGGTCTGGAGTCTCACATAGGGTAAACCAGGGATGGATCACAGATTTCCTTCTCTAAAGGGTGTTAGTGTTGCCTGGGGTTAAAGCGTTTTCTCTATGAAGAGAGGGTCGTTAAGCTTGGGCTGTTTTCTTTGGAGCAGAAAAGACCGAGAGGGAGCCTAATAGAGGTGTATAAGTTTGAGGGGCCTGGGCAGGGTGGATAGGAAGCAGTTGTTCCCCTTAGTTAAAAGGTCAATGTCGAGGAGGCTTAATTTTGAGGTGAAAAGCAGGAGGTTTACAGGGAAAATGTTTTTGAGGAAAATGTTTTTAACCCAGAGGGTGGTAGGGGTCTGGAATGCACCACCTGGGAAGGTAGTTGGGATGGAAAATGTTAAAACCTCTTAAAAAGTATTCAGATGAGTACTTGAAATGTTATAAATGTTCAAGCACATGGGCCAAGTGCTGGAAAGGGCAGCACGGTGGCTCAGTGGCTCAGTGGTTAGCACTGCTGCCTCACAGCGCCAGGCACCTGGGTTCGATTCCAGCCTCCGGGGACTGTGTGGAGTTTGCACGTTCTCCCCATGTCTGCGTGGGTTTCCTCCAGGTGCTCCAGTTTCCTCCCACAGTCCAAAGATGTGCAGGCTAGGTGAATTGGCCATGCTAAATTGCCCATAGTGTTCAGGGATGTGTAGATTAGGTGGGCTCATAGGGGAATGGGTCTGAGTGGGATGCTCCATGAGTCGGTGTGGACATGTTGGGCCAAAGGGCCTGTTTCCACACTGTAGGGATTCTATTCTAATGTAGATTTAACATAGCTTTTGTGGGGAGGGTCTGAGGAAGGGTCACTGGACCTGAAACGTTAAGTCTGTTTTTTCCTTCACAGATGCTGCCAAACCTGCTGAGCTCCAGCAACTTTGTTTTTGTTCCATAGTTTTTGTGGGTTCAGACTTGATGGGCTGAAGGATCTCTTCTGTACTGCATGATTTTATGACTTTAGTCTCCAGAGTGAGGCACAGTCCAAGAGAAGGGCAGGGCAGGACCGGAGGTTCAACATTCCAGAGTTTAGACGTTTCAGCTGAGATAGAGGAGGATGTAAAGGGGTGGGGGAGTTGTGTTACTGTTAAGGAGAATGTCACAGCTGTGCTAATATCACCTCTCATTCTCTAAATTCCTCCCCCCCCATACTAGGTACCAGCCTAGTGAACCATCTCTGGATTGCCTTCAATGCTACAATATCTTTCCTTCAATAAGGGGCCCAAAACTGTCCATACTATTGCAGCTATCATCTGAATAGTACCTCATATAGTTTTACCAAAGCCTCCTTATTTTTAGACTCCATTCCATTTGAAATAAAGGCCAATGTTCCATTTGCCTTCCCTAATACCTGCTGAAATTGGGAGTACTAGCTTTTTGTGATTTATGAACAAATTGAATCTAAATTCCACCAGTTGACATAGTAGATTTTGAACTTGTCTCAGAAGTATTAGCCTGGGCTTCTGGATGATGAATCATCATCTCCTCAAAGTCAAGAGGAAAAATAAACTGCTTAACTGATACTCATAGTCTGCATTCAATTCTGCAGTAATCAACGCAATGGCAACTGAAGGAATCAGTTAAAGAAATAGAGCATGTAGTACTAATAAGGAAAATGAAGGGGTTAAACAGCTCAAGATATTCTCCTGATTTTTCACATTGGTTCATCTGATTTTGGTAATGCAAAGAACATCCTTTCCAGAAGATAATGGCAAATCCTGGAGAGTCGCAGATTGGATATAGTTGAAGATATTTTGAAGCCACTGTTTTGTTCTATTAGACTTTTGTATGAATCTTGTTTGCTGTACAGATTTCAGAGTTTGAAGAGATTTCAGATATAGCGTATTTGGAAAAAGGGAAAGAGAGGCTTTAAGAAAGAAAACTAGGAGTTTGAACCTCTTGCCTGCTTGTGTGTAATAAAGAGTTTTGACTCGAACCATCACTGAAGTGTGTTCCACAATAATTAATCTTAAAACTCAACTTCAGGGAATATTGTACATCATAAAACACAGACAATAGTGCCAAAATTAAGACAGAAAATGTGTGACTTTGATTTTTTTTAATGTGGTCTTTGGTGTGGGCAGTATTTATATTCTTCATTAAATGACACCATGTATTATGCGGCCGAAGGCACGTGTAAGCCCGACCACACAGGGCTGGCAGATTGTCTTACCTCAGGACATCAAACTTTCAATAATTTTGGCATCTTTTTACCAATACTAGGTCGACTGATTTTCTAGAAGAGCAGGAGTAGGCCATTCTATCCCTCTATCCTGCTCTGCCATTCAGTATGATCATGGCTGATCATCAACTCAATATCCTGATCTCACTTCCCCTCATAGTCCTTGATCCCTTTAGGCACAAGAGCTACACTAAGTGGTAACGATTCCATAAGCTCACCACTCTCTGGGTGAAACAAAATTCTCCTCATCTCATTCCTAAAATGTTTACCCCCTATCCTTCACCAATGACCCCTGTTTCTGGATGTCCCAAGTGGAAACTTCCTTCCTGCATCTAACCTGTCTAGTCTTCTTAGAATTTTATAGGTTTCCATGAGATCCCTCTCATTCTTCTAAACTCCAGTGAATGCAATCCTAACCAACTCAATCTCTCCTCATACGTCAGTCCTGCCATCCCAGGAATTAATTTGGGAAACCTTTGCTGCACCCAGATAAGGAAATCAAAACTGCACACAATTTTCCAGGTATGGCCTCACCAGTGCCTTGTATATTTGCAACAAGTCTTTCTTGTTCCTTTACTTAAATCCTCTCGCTATGAAGTTTGCCTTCTTTACTGTGTCCTGTATCTCATAGAATCATAGAATCCCAACAGTGTGGAAGCAGGCTATTGTGCCAATCGAGTCCCACACCAACCCTCCTAAAAGCATCTCATCCAGACTCACGCCATCGCTGTAACCCGGCATTTCCCATGACCAATCCACCTAATCTGCACATCTTTGGACTGTGGGAGGAAACCCAAGCACCTGGAGGCAGCACACACAGCTGTGGGGAGAAGATGCAAACTCCACACAGACAGTCACCCAGTCCCTGGTGCTGTAAGGCAGCAGTGCTGACCACTGTGCCACCCTGTGCCACCTGCTATGCTATTCAATATGATCATGGCTGATCATAAAACTGAATGCCCTAATCTTAGTCCCACCTGCATGCTTACTTTCAGCAACTGGTACACAATGACACCCAGGTCTCATTGAACAGTCCCTTCTCCTAATTTACAGCCATTCATATAATAATCTGCCTTCCTATTTTAGTACCAAAGTGGATAACCTTATGTTTATCCACATTATACTGCATCTGCTATACATTTGCTTGCTCATGCAGCCTGTCCAAATCACACTGCAACATCACTGCATCCTTTTCATTCCTCACCCTCCCACCCACCTTTGTGTTATCTGTTGATTTTGAAATTGCATTTAGCTTTAATATTACATTTCATTCCCCTCACCTAAATCATTAACATATCTTGTGAATAGCTGAGGTCCTAGAACCAATCCCTACAATTGTACCCACAATTCACTGCCTGCCATTCAGAAAAAGACTCATTTATTCCTACACTTTGTTTCTTCTCTGCCAACGAATTTTCTATCCATCTCAATACACTACCACTAATCCCATGTACTTTAACTTTACACATTAATCTCTAATGTGGGACTTTGTCAAAAAGCCTTCTAGGAGTCCAAATAAACCATATCCATTGGACCTCCCAATCAACACTACTAGGTATATCCCCAAAGAATTCCAGTAGGTGTATCAAGCATGATTTCCTTTTCATAAGTCCATGCTGACTTCTGATTCTACCACTGTTTTCTACGTACTCTGCTAACAAATCCTTGATCATGGACCTTGATCAGATGGGCCAATGGGCCGAAGCGTAGCAGGTGGAGTTTAATTTAGATAAAGGCGAAGTGCTGCATTTTGTAAAGGCTAATCAGGGCAGGATTTATACACTTAATGGCAAGGTCCTGGTAGTGTTGCTGAACAAAGAGACCTTGGAATGGAGGTTCATTGTTCCTTGAAAGTAGAGTCACAGGTAGACAGGATAGTGAAGAAGGCATTTGGTACACTTGCCTTTATTGGTCAGTGCTTTGAGTATAAGAGTTGGGAGGTCAGGTTGCAGCTGTACAGGACATTGGTTAGGTTACTTTTAGAATACTGCATTCAATTCTGGTCTCCCTGTTATAGGAAGGATGTTGTGAAACTTGAAAGGGTTCAGAAAAGGTTTACAAGGATGTTGCCAGGGTTGGAGGGTTTGAGCTATAGGGAGAGGCTGAATAGGCTGGGGCTGTTTTTCCTAGAGCGTCAGAGGCTGAGAGGTGACCTTATGGAAGTTTATAAAATCATGAGGGGCATAGATAGGGTGAATAGCAAAGGTCTTTTCCCCGGGGTAGCAGAGTCCAAAACTAGAGGGCATAGGTTTAAGATGAGAGGGGCTACAATTTAAAAGGGACCTAAGGGGCAACTTTTTCACACAGAAGGTGTATGTATGGAATGAGCTGCCAGAGGAAATGGTGGGCTGGTACAATTACAACATTTAAAAGGCATCTGGATAGGTATATGAATAGGAAGGATTTAAAGAGATATGGGCAAAATGCTGACAAATGGGACTAAATTAATTTAGCATGTCTGGTCAGCATGGACGAGTTACACTGAAGGGTCTGTTTCCATGCTGTAAAGTTCTATGACTCTGTGACTCTATCTTAACCACTACTGGCGTCAGATTCACTGGTCTGTAATTCCCTCTTTTCTCTTTACTTCCCTTTTTAAACAGAGGGGTTACATTAGCTACCCTCCAATCTGCAGGAACTGTTCCAGAATCTCTGGAACCATTGCCTATCTGCTGTCTTTCCTTTCAAAAATATTTCCCAATCCATCGTTACCACTTTTACTCTTTATAATAAGAACATAAGAGCTAGGAGTAGGCAATTCAGCCCCTTGAAACTTCTCTGCCATTTAATATCATCATGGTTGATCTCATCTTGGCCTAACTTCATTTTCCTGCTGACTTTCCTTAATAATTCAACCTATTACGATTACAAACTCCTTACATTTACTCAGTATCCCACCATTTTCTGAGAGAAGTTATTCCCCTTCATCTCTGTTTATATCTGCTACCACCTATCCTAAAAGTATGACCTTTCGTTCTAAATTGCCCCACATGAGGTAACGTCTCCATACATCTACTTTGTCAATTCCCTTTAGTATCTTATATTTATTTACATGTAGGGCATGGGTGTCACTGGCTCACCAGCATTTATTGCCCATTCCTGGTTACCCTTGAGAAGGTAGTGGGGAGCTGCCTTTTGAACTGCTGCAGTCCATTTGCTGTAGGTGGATCTACAACACCCTTAGGGAGGTAATTCCAGGATTTTGATCAGAACAGTGATAAATTTCCAAGCAGCTGGTCTTCTACCCATATATCTGCCATCCTTGTCCTTCTACATGGAAGTGATTGTGGGTTTGGAAGGTGCTGTCTAAGCATGTTTGGTGAATTTCTATAGTGCATCTTGCAGCTGCTGAGCATCACTGCAGAGAGTATGGACGCTTGTGGATTTGGTGCCAATCAAGTGGGCTCCTTTGTCCGGGATGATGTCAAGGTTCTCGAGTGTAGTTTGAGCTGCACCCATCCAGGCAAGTGGGGAGTATTCCATCACACTCCTGACTTGAGTTTTGTAGATGATTGAAGGGCTTTGGGGAGTCAGGTGATGAATTACTTGCTGCAATATTCCTAATCTCTGAGCTGCTGTTGTAGCCATTGTGCTTATGTGGCAACTGTAGTTGTGTTTCTGGTCAATGGTAACCCTAGAATGTTGATAGTGGGGGATTCAGTGATAGAAACACCACTGAATGTCAAGGGGTGATGGTTGGATTGTGTCTAATTGGAGATGGTCATTGCCTGGCATTTACATGGGCAAGTGTTACTTACCACTTTTTAGCCCGATCCTGGATATTGTCCAGATCTTGTTGCATTTGAACATGGACTGCTTCAGTGTCTGAAGAGCTGGTGCTGAACATTGTGCAGTCATCAGTGAACATCTCCATTTCTGATAGAGGGAAGGTAATTGATGAAGCAGCTGAAGGTGTTGGGCCTAGGAACTCAAGCAGACATGTCCTAGAGCTGGTAAGACTGGCATCCAAAAACCACAACCATCTTCCTTACACCAGGTATGACTCCAATAAATTCCCCTCTTAGGTATACTCTCATTTGTCCATAGATACAGGCCTAAACTGCTCAAAGATGGAATTTAAGCTGAGGATCTCCACACTGTTAGTCCAGTATCATAATCACTAGCGTACCTGCTACAAATACCTCTAATGGCAGTATCTGACATTCTTTATTAAATATTTGACTTGATCTTCACTAATCGTTTAAGAACAATAGTTGAGGCCAACTTTACTTCATTGCCTTATTAATTGTGTGTTATTTTGTCTTTTCAGATCAGTGAGTGGAACCTGCAAGGTTTACCAAGTGATGACCTATCAGTTCAGAATGGCATCATTGTTACCAAAGCAACCAGGTATCCACTTCTCATTGACCCTCAAACACAGGGTAAAACCTGGATCAAGAGGAAGGAGAAAGATAATGAACTACAGGTAGGAATGAACAGATTTTTTTTCAAGCATCCTATTAATCACAAACATGAAATAACCGAATACCACTAATCAGCGCCCTGCACAATTCATTTTCTTCTTTGGTTTCCTCCCTTACTCTGCTGACTCTGCAGACACCGCTCTCAAATAACATAAAAACAAATTGCTGGAGAAACTCAGCGGGTCTGGTAGTATCTGTGGAGAGAAAGCAGAGTTAATGTTTCGGCTCCAGTGACCCTTCTTCAGAACAGGAGAATTCTCCAGCAATTTCTGTTTTTGTTACAGATTTCCAGCATCCGCAGGTTTTTTTTTGTTTGTTTGTTTAATACACCTCTCTCAAATGTTTGCTTTTCACCGTAAGAAATGGCATAGAATGTTAGCTGGCTGAGATAGTGGGGCAAGGCAATCTCAGTTCCTCCCTCATCTCATTATCTACAGAAGCAGAGTTCCAAAGGCATTTGCTTGATGATGATGAAGAATGGTGAAGTTTCTCCTTTCTAACGTAGAATGCTGACACCAATTATAAAGGCCCTATTAGCATTTGGGTCTGTGGATCAGCTAACTGAGCACAATAAAATTACAGAGTAGAGAAAATGCAAAAACTGAAGCCAAGTATTTTGTATCTGTCTTCTCATGGAAAATGCACAAGCCATCCCAAGATTAGTTGAAAATTATGGAATTGTTGAAAGGACTAAAGAGAGGGAAGAGCTCAAAACCATTATAGTCACCTGAGAAAACATACCAGGAAAACTAATGAGGCTGAAGTTGACAAGTCCCTTGAACCTGATGGCTTATCTCCCAGGCTCTTAAACAAAATGTCTGCAGAGATTATGGTAACATCCTTCCAAATGTCCTAGATTCTGGAAAAATCTCAACAGATTAACAAACCACAAGTATAACATCACTATTCAAGACAGCAGATAGATAGAAACAGGAAACCACAGGAGTTAGCCTAACATTTGCCATTGGAAAAAAGTTGGGATCCAATACTAAATGAACTAGTAGATGGACATTTTGGAAATTAAAATATAATCAGACAAAGTCAACATGATTCAGTGAATGAGAAATCATATTTGACGAATTTATTCAAGTTCTTTGAGGATCTAGTAAGCAGAATCAAGAAATGGGAACCAGTAGCTGTAGTGCATTTGAATTCTTAAAAGACATTCTGCAGGGTGCCACATGGTGTCAGGTGTAATATTAGCATGGATAGAGGACTAGCTAATAACACAAAGTGGAGAGTCAAGACAAGGGGGTCGTTTTGAGCTTTGCAAACTATAGGTAGTGGAGTACCCCAAGGATCAATACTGAACCTATTTACAATCAATATGAATAACTTAGATGAAAGAGCAATGTATATTGTAGCCTAATTTGATTAAGACATAAAGTTATATGAGAAAGCAAATTGTGAAGAGGATTCATGAGCCCGCAAATGGATATAGATAAGTTAAACAAGTAGGCAAAGATTTGGCAAATAGAATATCACTTAGAAGATTAACAGGTTGTCCATTTGGCAGAAAGGATAAAAATGGAGAATATTATTTAAATTATGTGAAACTGCTGAATGTTGCAGCACAATGGAATCAGGGTATCCTTGTGCATAAATCACAAAAATTACATGCATGTAACGAGGAAAGTAAATAGAATTTTGATCTTTATTTCTAGGGAAATGGAATATAAAAATAAGGGATTTTTGCAACACCATGGCATTGGTTAGACTGCATCTAGAGAGCTATGTATAATTTTTGTTTCTTTGCATAAGTGGGAATATCCTTCAAGCAGCACAACAGCACATGGTTAGCACTGCAGCCTTACAGCAGGGACCAGGGTTCAATTCCACACTCAGGCAACTGTCTGTGTGGAGTTTGCACATTCTCCACGTGTCTGCATGGGTTTCCTCTGGATGCTCCGGTTTCCTCCAAAAGTCTAAAGATGTGCAGGTTATGTGGATTGGCCATGGGAAGTGCAGGATTACAAGGATAGGGTGGGGATGTGGGTCTGGGTGGGATGTTATTCAGAGGGTCAGTATGGACTTGATGGGCTGAATGGCCTGCTTCCACACAGTAGCATTTCCATGATTTTATGAGATCATTGCATTGGAATCAATTCAAAAATGAAGTCGTCTAATGAGGGAAGGTTGACCCAGTTGTCCTGTAGTGATCGGGTTTAGAAGAATGAGAGACGATCATATTGAAGCATAAGACTTTGAAGGTGGTGGTGGAGAGGTGGTGGCTTGGGGGGAGTTGTGTGTTAGAATTCTGATTTGCCTCATGTGGGAATTTATAGCTACAGTACAGTTTTGAAATAATGGGTCTCCCAGTAAAGGTAGAGATGAGAAGGAATTTTTTCTATCAGGGATCCTTTGAAATTCTCTTCCCCACAGTCTACCAAAGGCAGCGTCATTGAATATATTCAAGGCTGAGTTAACAGATTTTGATCTACAAGGAGTCAAAGGTGACAAGGGCTGGCAGAAAAGTGGAGTTAAGGCCACAATCAGATTAGCTATCATTTTAATGACTAGTGCTGCAGGCTCAAGGAGAATGACCTCCTCCTGCTCTAACTTTTTATGGATAGTAGGGACTGCAGATGCTGGATAATCTGAGATAACAAGGTGTACAGCTGGATGAACACAGCAGGCCAAGCAGCATCAGAGGAGCAGGAAGGCTGACGTTTCAGGCCTAGACCCTTCTTCAGAAA